CAATCCCTTTTTTGTTACATTTGGTGGATCAAACTGATTTGAGTGGTACGATTGCAACGTCAGTGGTTGCAATTCTTTTGGCTTATCACATCGAACCAAACAACGATATTTGCACTGGAATGCAACAACTAGTCAGTATGAACGGTTTATTGTGTATTCTCATTTAACCCAAAGTTACTTGTGAGTAGTGGCGATTGATTTGAACTGACTATCCTTCGAATTTCACTTTCACGCATGATTCTCAGTTCATCGATTCAATGGTACACTCGGAAGCACTAGACTCAAGTTTCGCTCATATTGCAGCTCATCATTAGTGCATATACATCGTCATGTCTGTGATTTGAACTTCGGACCCATAGCATGCTGGGCGTGTGTGTTACAACTGTGCCAACCAGCTCACACTGTGGTTGAAAATAATTGCCAATTCATGTTTGTTCAGGGGCGGTCTTCGGTGATAGTCAGTCAGTTCAGTCACCTTATTGTGTAGTGGTCGACGAAATCCCCCGGTACCGCTATTTCACCAATACCACCAGTCTTTGAGTATCCCAACTAGAAACTGGACAGTGCATACTTGGTTCGGGAGTAAACTAAACCACTGCAGTGATAGACAGATGATTACCTACCAAAACCCTAAGTACATGACCATATGAAGTGATAATGCTTTGTTTAGTTAAATTTATTCGCCGTTTTGCAGCAGTTGACATTACCTATCATCTTTGTGTCTTTACATTGTTAATAGATCGCTTACCACATTAAATTTCGTTGTAAATAAAGCAAGGTCAATTTCCCATAAAGAACTAGGAAGCATTGAACAGTTACTTGGTTCTCAGCAGTGGTGCGAATCAATCGACTCAACTGAGGATCGGACCAGGAACAACAGAGAAACAGTAAAAACCCACCACCATTTTCACTGTATTTATTGAATTTCAAACCCGGAGATGAGATTGAAGATGTGACGGGGAGGGGGGGTTAATGAATTTGCTGCGAGCGAATGCCACCGCTAAATTCGGAACCGAGGTCATAATCAGTGTCAAGTGTGCCTGTGAAAACCGCATGGGTTCATCCAAACCAGAATATGATCAATTAACGAATGTGGCTCGGTATTCAACCAGCTTCACGTCGATGAAGCGCCGCGTATATTTTGATTCCTAGAAGCTGAGAATCCATCCATTAGGAGGAATAAGGCGATTTCTGACTTTCACTTAACTTGAAAGACATTGTTTGTATGACTATTGCTGGTCATGATTTTCTCGCCAGTATAGCGGAGAACATATAGAACCCAACATATTACCACATACTATATTGTCATATTATTACTATTATTATATTAAATGGCCAAAACAGCACCGCGACCTCATTACTCATGAGAAGTATTCGCAATACTGTACTGCAATAATCTAACCTGCATAAAACGAGTGTACTTTGACTTGGATGAAGAAGATATACGTCAGGCGCGCGATACAAACTGACCATAAGCGATTTTCACAATGAGTCTGGCTGGTGTGGAAAACCTACCCGATAACATGATGCTGCCACATTCTTGTACTGATAACCTTTATCGCACTGGTATGATCTCCATGGCTCCTTCGGGTCGTGTGCGAAACACACGGAATCAGGACCATATGCCTGCAATTCACGATTAACCAGTGCTCCTAATGACGAGAAAACAAGGGGAGAGAATAAAAATCTGTCCCGAGGTAAATCATTAACTGTGTTAATTTAAAAATATTGCTTGATGACAGTTAGTAGTTAGATAATTCGACCATGAAAAGTGATGCCCGTATGAAGGTATTGCGCGGTTTGTGTTAGCTTAGGTTTTTGCGGTATCCCAGCTGGTATGTGTTTCAGAAAAACACTCACTATTTGCATTCAGTTAGTGTGTGGCTTAAAAAAATAATGAAACTTGACTGTGAATGAGCAGATAGGCATCTAGGAGACAGGAACCCGTGGGACGAAGAATAATCTTGGGTGGCACGAGTGTAGTTTACACCTATTCATGGCAATCACTTCGACAATCTGCGACATTCACATGTTATGCAATCTTTTGAAATGCGCTCTTTTTGGACGCAATATTGCGTCAGCAACAATCACCTGGTGATTGAGAAACCAAGCGTTTTCTTTGCGCGACAAGTGTAAGCTACCGGTTACGTTTATCCAAACATAACAGCCTGATGTTAAACTCTTCGCGGCTTGTACTTCTAAAACCGATTATGTAATTACTGTTGTGTTCTACCTGTCGAAACTGAAACTTTGACTTAGCGTGCAGAAGTCAGTTTTATGTAACCGAAAAGATGTCCATTATCCTGCTTTATTGTTTGCGACGTGGTTGTATGGTATGTCTAGGTGGCAACGAAGTTCCGCGGCTGTTCCAACAAATGGGTAACTTACAACCTTTGAATGGAAGACAAACTGTGCTTTCCAATTTAAATACTGATAAAAAAACATTGCAACTAAGGCTTTAGCTTACTGGGTCACGCTAAACTTGATTCATTTTTGGGCAGTTTATGACGGAGGAAGGGGCATGTCGTTTTAACCGTGTGATCCGTGCAAGTTTTCAGGTTTGTCTGCAGCCCCAGCCCTCACCCCTTGCGCCAGTTTAACGGCGAACCGAGTCTAACACAGTAAGAACAAGGGACAAAAACAGTAGGCGGTGAAGAAAACATATATACATGAACGGGTACTAGCAGAACACTGCCACTTCAATTGGTGTCACCTCGTCTGGTAATGAAACGTTTGCAAACAAATTGCCAATTGCTCGGCGAACAGGCAAAATGAAATGTGTGTGTGCCAAACACAAAATTTATCTCATTTAGGTGAAAACCGGTATTAACAATCATCATTCTCGTTCTCTCGTGCGATCATCACTGACGGGGTTAGGATATATAAGGTTGAAACTGTCAGGAGCGATTAGTCAAAAGTCTTTACACATTACAATCGTACAGATGAGCGGAATAAACCATGAATTAGATTCACCCGTGGACGTACGAGCGGCCAAAGAGAGTCAGTTAATGGTCTATCTGAGAACACAAAAAATAATCACAAGTTGGTTTGAGCTGCCCACATGCATGACACCGCGAGTCAACCGGGCCACTTGGTACGTGAATGTCCAGTTAGGTTATGAGTAACACACGAACAGTGATTAATTTCGATGCATTAGGACTAACCCTCGTGCTTTCTGTTTTCAAAATGACCACAATAGCTGCTCGGCGTGTTTTGGTTACCCAGCTGTGGCTGTAAAATGGTGTTGTGATTTGAACAGAAATTAGCAAGCAAAGTTTGATGCCAACAAAGATCAATCAATCACACAAGTTTTACATAAATCAGTCACCAATCAGAATATTGATTCAGACCATTATGAGCTACAATCTAGCTGTGACATTTGTAGATGTCGCATCGCCTCCAAAAGCCTCCGTATAGTTGCGGAGGTGAGTGTCTTGGATTGTGGCTGGTCACCCTTCCCTTGCAACGCCCCAACTGCTCCTATGCTGCCAAACTTCTCAAATAGTCCCAGCTGAGGAGGCCTTACTAATTGCCTTCCCGTGATGGTGTTTACTTACCAAAGTGAGAGGACGATAAACCGAAGTCCGGGGCTATAACCGGGTCGGTGAACCAGTGACTGTCCATCTAGAGGAATAAGTTACAACCATTGATTCGAGGCCAACCAGGAGGAGGTGTACGAGCCACACTTTCCTAGTTATGGTAGTTGTCACCGGTTCCTTTGGGTATCGAGCTGTATTGGACCCCTTGGACGTTTGATCCCGTCTGAAGGGCGTACGATTCGATGAACTGGACACCGATCTGCAGTGCATTGCGGATTTCGCACACCGCCCCGCTGCTTTGGTTAGGTTTTGGTTAGTCGAAGACTCCTACTTTGGCCTTCGCACCCGAGTATTATCGCGCACACAAACAAAATATGGATCTTGGAACTTTTTATAAAGACAATTGTACTCTGGTTGATTGGTACACAGTTTAGACTCGGACGTGTGTAAGCTATAACAAACATAAATGCCGCATCGCGGATATACAATCTTCGAACGCGGCAGCAGTTTTTCAACCTCAAGCTATCTTCAAAACTGCTTATTGGCCGCGGGAATGAACCATTTACGAGATTTGGCAAAGAGTGATGGGCATAAGTTATCATTCCCTAAATGTCTGAATATATACACAGGCACACACTTGAAGCTTGTCAGGTAGTAGCCGCTTAATTCAGCAATGCGTTGCACCCCAAACCTGATGAACTCGATGCCCGGACTGCCGGATAAAGTAGGACAGAAGCGAGAAGGGACAAGAGGATTTTCACCCCTGTGCAGCTTTAATAATCTCACATGAATGCATAACGCATAACTTCACAAAGAACATTCGGTCCGATAACTAACGTTCGTCGTATTGAATGGTTGTTTTAGTTAAACGCCAATCGATCTTGATTGCTGGCACGAAAAGCTCCCTATTGTGTGTATCTATACTTGAGCGAAAGGGGCCTGATCATAACAAGCCCTGTAAGTTTCCACCATCGTCTGTCTGACTTAATAAAATGCCAATAATCCTTTCACAGTCTTTTGCTGTTGTTGTTATATGTATATACATATCTACTTGGCCTACTTTTGCCATCCACGACGGTATTCGAATCGCGAATCCTTTCAGCCACCGGACAGACATGGTCAATGACTGACAGTTTTTAAATTATGGTTACATTTATTGAAAAAGTTTTTATCCAGTTCACTCATACGGTCTCACAAAGACCAGCTTTTTTCGGTTTCATAGTCTTCACTCACATTAGTGTTACAGAAAAAAGCAGAGACAAAAATGTTACCTGGAGAACAGCAAGCCCGCTCGCATTCACAGGTCAACAGATTAGCATCATTTTAACCGTATAGACTGAAAATAAATAACTTACCGTCATAAATGGACAATAATCTGCCAATTCATCAGCGCCACCGTACAACGGTGCAACGAAAATTGGTTGCCCCGGAACTGCGGCGAAGTATTGATTCATTGGAGGAAGTGGCTGGGCAAATCGCCTAATGTTACATGAACCGTAAGCGTTCGCATAGTTGAGGCAATGCCTGTTCGGAGCTTCAAAATCATTACACCAAGGCCAAGCTGACTTCTTCCTGTCAAATTGGCAGTGTGACGATTTGTACAAGCGAATGAGAACGACAGAGAAAGGAAGGAAGGAAGGGAGGGATGGAGAGCAACAAATGATAAAACAGTAAGTTTGAGTAAAGTTAGTTGTGTTGTAGGGTACTACTCACATTTGTGGGCAGTATGCGAAATAGTAGGGCTGGTGGTATCCTTCAATGATCAAAAATTAACAAGACCATTGAGGGTGAATTGGTCTGCCTCAAAGAAGAACTACAGACTGCTCCAGTCATTGCCGATGTGCTGTTAGGAATTGCGATAACATGTTTAAAATGTGATTTCTGTTATATGCATGCCAAATTAGTGATTTCCCAACTGTAACCTGCAATAAACAACTTGCCACGACCGGACACCGCCTTGTGGAATTATACCAATAGTAGTAGCCGGTTAGATCGGCCGAGTTCCTATGATCTATTTGTGTTCCGAATTGTAGTATTTCAAGTCCTAGCCCTTTTGTCAATGACAGGCCGTTTTACTCTCACCCGGANGATAAATACAAATCCAGTTCATCGATAAACTAGTACTATGATTCGATGTTCTGTTAGAGGGTTAGATATTAATAACCAAAACAAACGTGACTCAAACGTCTTTTTAGAGTATTCAACAATAAGAAGTTTGTGAATGACTTAGCACAAAAGGTCATGGAAGCACGCGACCGGCTTCACGGTTCCTACCGCTCGTCAGGCCTGCGTATTCAGTAATCTTTTGTCAGCTCATCCATAGACTTGTATCTCCGGCGTTGCAAATGAGATATTTGCGTTCAAACTAAATTTCCTGGTTATGAGTACCTGGATTAACTGACCAAAGATGACCGAATATGCAGGCCTGATGAGCCGCAAGAACGGCGAAACCGGTGGTGTGCTTCTAGAGCAGTTATATCAAGTNTACTCATCGTCAACTAACTTATAGTTGAGTGCTTCACTTTAAAATTGTTTCTACATGAAGGGATAAATAATGCAGTTTACCGAAAAAGGTTCACACTTGCGAAGACCAATGAAGATTGCTTTCTATGATGTCTCCTGGGCTTTTAAACGTGTATTTCGGTTCTGAATACAGGGGTGATGATCAAGGCTTCCAGAGGGTACTCAAATTGCGAAGGATTAAATATTCACTTAAAGTTTATTCAAATAAAAACTGAATTTGTTTTGAAAATATTTGCACTTCTGTAAACTGTCAGAAAATAGTAATGTCATAGGGAACTGCATCATCAACCTATTTCAAGATCTTGGCCCATGAGATACTAGATACACTAGATACGCTGATGAATATCGAAAATAAATGTGTTGAGAAATCACAATATCCTGAAGGATTCGCAAATTGTTGACCACATGTTTCGAAACAGTTGAGCCTATACTGTTCTTTGAATACTTCCAAAGACATCGTCTTTCATTTCAACTTGAGTTCAAAATAATAACCAATGTTTATTGTGTGTCTGATCAATTCAACAATTGAGCATTACGAGTTAACCGTCGCTTTTATTTTCTTATATAATCAACCACCTTCCACCTTAGAACCAAATTTGCCACTTATGCATTACGATAAAACTACTAATTACGCCACGAATGAATTGACTCAGCCGCCTGGGGATACAAGTATCAAATGGAAAAAAGATCGATTTCAGTAATGTTCATTATACACAACCAGACTTTCAGCATTCGGGGACAGCAGTGACTTGACCAGTCAAAAGTAGTTGACCATCCAGTAGCACTTGTTCGACACACCAGAGGACACAACGTTCCAACAAAGTAAGATGTCCAAGGAAAATTCATAGTACGGTTTGGTAGAAAACTTCATGCGAGAACTTTCATTTACACCGCGAATTATACTTACTGTTGTTCTCTCAGTTGCATGTATTCGTAACAACTTTTGAATAGAAAGTCACATCCCGCGTTTCTGGCCCAATCATAACTTTGCGCTTTTGACCAGTCCACAGTGTACCACCTGTTTTTCACCCGTATTGAAATATAAAAGAGCGCAGAGGAGAGAAGAGGAGGTAAATAATCGATCCATTGAATTGTCAACTGTGTGAAGAAGTAATTCGAATTCAGTTCCGGACAACAAGTGCAGTTACCAACGGGGAAGGGGTTTGAATAATTTTATTCAATCACGTTTTCCAGGTGTACAGAGCAAATTATTACGGAGAGTTTGAAGAAGGTTTTATCGGAACATTGTGAAACAGCAGCAGTAAATGTGTTAGGGTGACTGCGAGTTTAATTAGTTTACCCGTTCTTCCCATCCCCCTGTGGTTGGTGGTGCTACGACTGTGCACAGTTGCGAAAATGGGCTTTCTTTTTTATTACACATTTTTGTGTGATGCACAGCAGACGGGGTGAACCCCGTAGTCCCATAGTAAACCTGCTATTCAGTGATTGAAATCGGCAATCTAAGCCCCGGGACTTATAGTGGTGAACCACATAGGGCCCCATTGGGATAGGCGTGGTTGTGAACCAAACGACAGCAAAGCTGACTACCACTAAAGTTGTGTGGCGGTGGCGGGGTTCGAACCTCGAACTATAGGATCCAAAACACACCCGCGACCCTGAGTAAACCACCACGCAAGTCCCAGTGTGGCCAGCCTGAAGCCACTTGATCAGAAACCAAGCGGCAAAACGAATACACAAACAAACATCTGTATCTTGTTCCACTTCACCCCGGGGGATTCAACAGTTGAGGTTTTGCACTATCAACTGTACACGCCTAAATGACCAAAATTAACTAGGCACCGGAATGTTTTTCTTTGTTGCACTAATGGATTAATATGATCTGCAGGCCAATTGAATTCACAAACCACTAATCACAAATCCGACAAATTATCGATCGTAAGTATTAAGGTTATTAAGGTTATCTAGTCGTTATTATGCAACTTTCTGATACCGACACAAATAGAGAAGCCTGGCCATCGGCTATATATCTGAGCTCAAACAAACAACCGGGATGAATGTTTGCACACTTCTTGCAAGAAATGCGATTTCAAAATATCACTTGAAATTACCCGGAATCATAGAAATATGCCAGCGTCAGTTTGGATACCCGCGTCTCAAATCCAACAGAACCGGCCATAGCTTCGTTCTGAATGTGAAGCGAGGGAAGAAGGGGATGGTCGGTAACAGGGAGAAAACCGGTCAGTGATGTTGAAATGAAAATGTACACCAATGTAAATCAATATTGTTATTATTTTGGCTCAGTTGTGCTAGAATAGGAAAGTAATAAGTTTGCTAGCTTATGAAGATAGTGCTTTGATTGAAAAACAGTTTGAAAGTGTAACCTCACGGCTTCAACAAAAGATTAGGTGTCTATTTCGAGTTGTCCTGTCCGCAATTTTAGATGCAAAGTCGTCCATTTATTACAACCCTCATGACTGATGAATTCGTTTGCTCAAATTGTGTGGCTCACTGATTCCGTGTCGCTCAGAAGTCAAACGTTTCTCCTCCTAATCCGAAAGTTCACGATTCGAGTCCCAAAACGGAAAAAGAAGATTGCGTGCATCGTTACTAGTGTTGTGAAATACTACTCACCTGTGAGTAGTAGGTAACATAGTTGGTGATTTATTTCAACAATCAAAAACCAACAAGGTCACCAAGGGCAATTTGCTGGGTCTCAAAGAACAACTATTCTTTGCTATATTCATTCCCCTTTGTGCGGCCAGGAACTGCGATGGTATGTTTCTGATGAGATGTTGTGTGTTACGTATGCCAAACTACTGATGTCCCATCTATGGTCGTCAATAAACGACTATCCTCAACCAGCGCTGTCTTTTAGAATTATAACACTAAGTCACAACAAAGACTAAACAACCCACCATTCTTCACAGGAAATTCCATCTCCAGTCATTATATCTACCGTATAAATTGTCCGATGTGGTGCTTCCAGAGTAGACTCACAGATTCTGTTTTTCTTTTCATTTTACTTCCTTTTATTGAATATACAAAGATACAATTTTCAGGAAGGGGGAAGCGGCCAATCCAAGAGCAGCCATTCAACACACACTGGGGGCAAGTCAGATGGTGATGGTGGGATTCGAACACACGTCCCCCAAGGTGATGATTTGGTGACGTTACCACCGGGCCACTACCGCTACCAATCGTCTTTGACGAATCCATTACGACCACCCAGTTAGGCGCATAGATGAGCTAGAAATATCGTTTGTAAAATTAGAAAGTCAAATACAATCTTCCTCATCAACACACGGAACACTGTTAGAGGACCAATGGATTAAGGTAAATCGGAAAACAGAAGCCAGTTAGGCAACATTGCACGATTTATGTCCTTGACGGTTTCGCTGCATCTCAACTGATATCTGCTTCAGTCAGATACATTAATTCTTGTTGATCGAGAGGAATTATTTCGAGTGATTTATTCCTACGATAATGCCACGATGCTCAAGATCACCAAGTCGATTGCAATTAACCAATGGAAACTAATCATGTGCCAACAAAAGTACTTGTGTTCATCATTTTGGTTTTACCTTGGTGACCCTTCCCCCATTTACACTTGTTTATTTTGTAATCCATTCCCAAACCCCATTCAAAAATTATGTTTGTCCGCAGTAGACACCAGTCGTCATGCAACGAAATCGTAATTGTAAAATGGTGCCTAACTGGCTTCTCATTCCAAATTTATCACGGAAAACGCTTGTTTCGGTTTCTGGAAAATAAGATACGGCGAAACGTTGTTGTGCAAGTGCCACTAGGAAACAGAAAAATATTGCGGCAGGCCCCTTCAAATTTTGGGGGCCTTCACTTCCAGTGTTGCGCCGTCCACACACTGAATATTTTTGACTGGTCTACTTCGTTTGTCCACCGACGTTAGGTCAGTTTTGAAGTTCAGCTCGAATTATCCTTGAATATCTGCTTGTTAGCTTTGGCTTCTGTACCCTGGTTAGCTAATTGAATAATTCATGAAAAGGAAGAAAAGAGAAAAATCTAGCAAGAGGCGAACAGAAGTACCGTTCTGAAGATGTTTGTGGCGTGTGGACAAGAGGCGTAGGAAATAAATTTTCTCTCGCTTGACTCGTCGACAAATGAGTACTTTTGCTGCATGAGCGTAGTAGAGGGTGTGATTTCTTTAAATGATGAATTCGCAGTGTAAATGAGGCTTGAACTGAAAAGCTTGGAGGCACTAGACAGCTGTTTCCAAGCTGGCTATGTTTCGTCGGCCGTGCGAACGCATCGACCCAACTGGGGAGTGAACCCCGGACCTAGCAAGTAGAACGCAATTTGGTTCGATGGATTCGCACTACTGATGAGACCCAATCAGGTCGAACCATCTGTCCAGAGCCTCCCAGCTTTTCAGCTCACACCTCATTTATACGACGAATTTATCATATAAATGAGTACTTTTATCTCATATTCCAATAGTAGTTGATTAAGTACACAGCCAGCTAATACTTACGCAGATTTGACTGCTACTGATTAATGGAGATTAGGCTGTGTGGAAATCAATCTGCTTGGACACGTCTGGTGACACAAAAGTGGTTCCTCTGGATTGTAAGTGGACAACAATTTGCTTCATTCGAGTTCAAAAAGATCATTAAAAACTCTAGCGGCCACAAATAGAACTAGCATATTCAATTTCAGTTGAAATCAAAAGCTTTGAAGCATGAAAACAAGCCGGAAATCGGTGGAAATGGACAGAATAAAGAAAAATCTTGTAGACTGAGAACATTTCGTTTATTTCCTTCTAAATGGGGTTTTAAAAAATTGAGGATGGACTCGTATTTTACTAGCATCATCTGACTACGAAACAGTTGCACTGTGGGGTCAAGGAGAACAATGTCCAGATGAGAACGCATCACACAAGGAAGATATGAGACTCATTGTGTGGGAAGCAGTGTGATGCGCAAACTGAGAGTCAAAGCGCTTTGTAGTGGGAAGCGAATTAATACGTCTCCTGACAGATGACAACTTTTTGTCACACACTCACCAGAACCACTCGTTTCTCAAAGTGTGCTGCTGCCGTTCCCGAACCGCCTTGATTTTCCATCTCAACACCGTCCAAGTGTTCGCAGCCAAAATGTTCCCGTGCCACTTCCTGTATCCGTGTGTGCATGTGTGTTTGTGTGTGTCGGCGTGCAAAGCCGGGGATGAAGCCAGTGCATCGAGCGATTATCATGCAATTTTGTTATGGGGTAGAAGAAAATATACATTTGGTTTGATACGAATTATCTGAACGATTAATCAATCGATTTTCTATCCAGATTTCAAATGCGATGGAAATATTTGTGATAACCGAGAAGCAACACTGGACGGTTATTTTGTCCTGTTTGGGACTCCTGCCTGGTGCCTCTGAAAAATCAAATGGGCTAAAACAAGCTTGATACTCTAGATATCCATATTTGTTTAAATGGTTCCGCGAATCTCACTGAAAAACATAGTTCGTCCTCGGGAACTAACACATTCATAGCAATATCATCAACTCTTAAAACTAGCAATTACCTGAGCCTCGGTCCACCGAGGCGGACGCTTTCGCATCTCAATAAGAAGTATGGCACTTTCAAGGATCATCGATACCCAATAGCTAGATGAATCCACACTTGAATTCATACTCGACACAGGTTGGAATGGTGTCTTCGAAAAGAAGGGTTGCTAAGCCTACTAAAAATTACTTTTATTGCTCATCTTTGTTAGCCCTTAGGGTTTATTGTCGGTTTCCTTTTGAGTAGAGCAAATCTCTTGGCAACTGAATGGAATGCATAGCGCAAAAATGAAAAGAACGATGACAATAATAATGAAAAAAACAATATTAATATTAATAAGTCCCTCAATCATCCAGTGATCGAAGCAAGCGATAAAATACCAAATACATGGCAGACACAATTCACGAGTGGCACATTACCAAAAGTTTAGGAGTTCTTAGCACGACTCGCTTCAATTGATAGGTCCCCTTGACGGATTTCCAAGTGCGTTCCACCTCTGTCAAAGTGTGCGGACTAGATTGGGGGATCGGAGTGGAGAGAAATGAATGCGTGAAACAAAGCAGTGCTAAATGACTAGCAAACTGTACAGTATACATACACAAATAGTACATTTGTTAGTGCGCCTAAAAACGCGTGTCATCATCGTGAATCACTTCAAAACTATTTCCGATCACTTATTTTAAAGTCCAAGAAGGTTGCGCACAAATCCGAGATACTTGTGTCCACAAAAACGATTGCTAAAACTTGCATAACAAACCAGTAACGATACAATAAAAAAGATTTCGGCACAAAGCAGTTTCGTTCCCTCGGTAACATTTTTCTGTAAACTATTTGTTGATTGTTTTGTTTGAAGAAAATCCGGCCATGTTTGACTTGAATAAAGTACGCAATTAAACGGCAAGGTTCACACACAGACACGAGTTTACAATAAAAATGAATTCTAACAATTTTGACAGTTACCTGGGAACGCTGACACCATTTTTATATGTTCCCAAAGATGGTTCGCCGTTCTCATCACGCGGGGTTCGCGGATTGCCATTCTGGTCACGCATGTATGCGTACAGAGTTGGTGAAAAGCCCTGCTCCGGAGACACAATGATCGATCGAAACGATTGACGACGGACGGCAGCGGGGAGCGGCGGGGAGCGGCGGCGGCGGCAGCGGAAGCGGAGGAAGAATGCAAATAATACACACAAATGTTCAAACAAAATCACTAGATCTGCAAAAACATTTATTCTAGTTTGATATTTTCTGTTCAAGCCGAAAGATAAATTATTACTCACATGCAACTCAAACGGGATGTTATTGTTTACATAGTAGAGATGAAAGGCGCATATTGACGAAGGTAAACTGGTTTCATTTTTATGTTTGGAATTCCGCTGCTAAGTTACACAGTTGATGCTCACGTAATCAGACACTCGGATCGAGCAGAAAATAATAACGCAAACAAAATGGACATAGTTCTACAGTTTTCTGCTACTTTCCCACAAACGACAGACCGAATGAGCCATCTCATTTATCAGACGCATTTACTAGGACAACGAGATGGGGACAACTGCCAAAAGGGATGCGCTCTTGCTATCCCGAGAGATTTGTGGAACAAGAATGAGCAAAAACAGTAACGGAAGCAGTAAATTGATAAGATCGGTAAGGGTTCAAGTGCCCATAGAGCAATTACACTTTGAAAATAATAATAATAATGATAATAATAATAATGGAAGTATAGTTCATTCGTCATTGCAAACAAATCCCGATACGTAATCCCAGCTTCTTCAGGTTGTTAGGAATGCCTTTTTGGTCTCATCCAAGCTGCTCGATCAATTGCGTCTAAGGTAAAGCTTACGCGGATTGAACGTTAAAGCAGCAGACGAAACGAATCCGAAAATATCGCTTATCTAGGTCGATGACTGGACATTGCTCATCAAGCTTCAGCCTTGATCATACACTTTAATCCGTCTCATTTCTAGAACGGAACAACTAATGTGCGTTTGTGTGTCGAACTAAAGGGATTATGGGTTGTAGCTATAGGGTTTTGTTTTGCGGCTAAAGAAGTGTGGATTCTCGTTAAAGCTTGATGGAAAAATTTGTGATACCTTTAACAAACTTTTTGGTAATCACTTGATTTGGACTGAACACTCGAATCACCGAGTCCCGACCAGGCAGAGTCAAGCGTTTCCGGCCTTTGTACCAAAAGCATTCTGCATAACCAACATTCCTTTGCTGATGTACACGTAATATAAAATGTTTCAGGTTTTCTCTGGTACCCATTGCCCCAAAATTGATCACCCGGAGTGAAAAGCACAGTGATGAACTCACAAAATTTCCAACGACAGCTGAATACTTGTCCGTGTGCTGTGTAACAGGTGGCTGTTTCGTGGATTGCCCAGACTGAAATCGCTATGACCTACAACTGTCTCGCTGTCGCCATTGTGCTCTCAATAAATGAAATTAGAATGATTCGATTACGAAATCACGGGAACCAACTGATCACCTACGCTTGATGTTTCACTAAACATACAATCGATCCTAGAAGTGACAAGCACCTGATGGCGGGACAAGATGCACCGATTTTCCACTGTGTGATTTCGTTCATTCATGGAAAGAGCAAATGCGGGAAATTTAGACAGAAAATGCAACAATTACTCACGAATGCATGTGCCAGTTCATGCAAGGCGGTTACTCGGGTGATCATAGACTGTGGGTATTCGAGATGGATAGCATTCGGACAGAAATTAATATATCCCAAAATCGGTCTGTGTGAGAGAGGAAGAGAATATGGGAGGTTTACAAGTGTAACTAGCCATAGTTTGAGTTTTACTGTCACAAAATGTTTCTTTTCTATCTGTGAACCATTGCGGTACCACTCGTTCTAACTAACGTCGATAACCTGTACATCTTAGAATATTATTTGCGGAAAATCTTAGTGTCATATCAAATAAAAGCAAATTCCTAGTTTATTTTTAGGGCTAACTCGATGTGGATCGACAAAAACGTTGCAAAAAACTCAAAGTGATCTATGTGTTTGCAGCAATCTTATGAATATTGGAACCCAGCTCTTCGTAGGTGAATAGTCGTCCTACCTGTAGCTCAGTGATCACTGGTGCGTGCGTGTCAATAGGCTGATTCTTCAAACAACAGACCTGTGAATCCAGCCAAAGTGCAGGATCCTAGTGATCGTCGCCTACTTACCGTGTATCCTCGAGTTAAGCAAAGCTGAATTCTAGCAGGCGCGTCCCCGGGTTGTGGATAAGAGGATACCTTCACTGAAGAAGGTTAACTGCCAATAATTTGTGGCAAACCGCAATAANATGTGAAGTCGCGAACAAACAGCGGCGGCACTACCAGGGTGTGGTGGGTTTCAGGCTGGTCAATGTACTCCTGTGTAAAAGCCGCATAAACCCAATAACGGTGTCGTGACAAAGATCACTATGACCGGCCTTTTAAAACTGACGTCATTGACCCCCTCACTTCCGAAGCGATGGATTACTTCATGCTGCCTTGCAGTTCGCACTTGGTTGTGCAAAAGCTAGAAGTGCGCCCTCAAAATAAAAAACGCCGAGTGACACTGGGTACGTCTCTCTTACCAAACTCCCAAGGAACTTCATGGTCATGAACTTGATCATGTCTGCAGCTCACTTATCCTTTCCAAGGAGCCAGTCGCAGTGAAGTAAAAGTAAGTAAGTAATAGGTCGCTGCTGGGCATCTTATTTGACGCATGACTGACTCGTTTAACGTGTGTGATAAGCTACGCTACTGGGATTACACAGAGAGCGCGATTGACCGTATTCCATATTCACGGGAACATGTTTTCTAGTGAAAACCAGTTCAGGTTGATCCATACTAATTACCATTTTCGTGGTTTTCGATGCGGAAACGGGTTGCGCCATCACTGTACCAGTTCTAGTCGCTCGAAATTCGTATACCAACACGTGTTCCCCATTTCAGTTTATTGTTCACTTGTCGTCTTAGCTAATCTCTTGAAAAAAGATTTCAAGCTGTTACCACGCAGACTGACCCTCACTATCCATGTCTCTTCAATCCCACTGGTAGAGTTGATAAATTGTCTGTGTGCACATCATTAGAATGCATGTGAAAAGTTTGTACTCATCCACTGAAAACATATTTAACCTCCTCTGGTTTCCATCTGTCTACTGGATCCCAATCGCGTTGTGTTCCCTTTGTCTTGCATAAACATCTATCGCAACTCTGCGGTATGCTCTTTAGCTTATGATCTGGCTAAAAAGGAATGTTTTCGCAGACTCCCTACAAAGTTTTCTTTTTTCCTCTACCGTTTACGCCTACGAGTGAAGTGTAATCAGCAGGCTTACAGAAGTCATGAGTACAATTGCAATCAATCAAAGGTGTTTGGTTACCGAGAGATTGTCGAAGGATGGGGTCAGTTTATGGCGTTTTCGCTCAATATGTATTCCCAAAAAATGGTATCACTATTCTGCAGAATTAAACGCATTTATTGGATTGCTTTAAGTATATCCATACTATACCTGGACAGCGTGGGCAATTCATTAGTAGTAGAGTTGTAGAGCTATGCCATCAGTCGTTTGAAACAACAGTCTTTTAGTGATGAAATTCTCTTGCGTGAGGATTGTATACCTTGCGGAAAAGAGCATGTAATGCCCAAAAAAGTAAGGGGAAGCTTGTTGTTGTTGTTGTTTTGGCCTTTTAGTAGTGCACACGATATCTATCTATTTGGTCGAACTCAAAACAGAAACCCTTACTAAGGAGGAGCGAAACTTTGGCCTGTAAGTCGTATAGTCAACCGAATATTCTGAAACAATTGCTGTATTGTGTACCAATATTACTATGAAACTTTGTCTACCTCTCCCATTAATATTGGGCACGATCCCGAGGGTGAAGTTTGCTCATTCACAAATAGTAGTAGTAAATCGGGCAGAGAAACCAAAAATAAGCATCACTGTTTATCTTACCTGTTCGATTTGCTGTCCAACTGGCATACAGTTGCAAAAGCAAGTGTGCCCTGATCGCATTGTGAATGCATACGAGCATCGACCAGTAGTAGGTAGTCCGTATTCGATGCTCCCGGACCTCCTGCTTGTAGCACTAATGGCTGATTATACCTGACTGCGGTACATTTCTGGAGTAACACGGGAGGATTCGGGGGAAAAGATCAATTTGATCGACAGGAAAAGCAGTCCCTCTTCAAACGATTTTATTGAGGCATAATACTGGCCACGAGGACTGGTAGATAATTCCTGCTTTTCGGTGGTGGAATTTATTTCATTTTTCACCCAGTTAACTTTTTCTTATTTTTGATTTGAAATAATGCAACTGGACGGGACTAAATTCGAAATTCAGTTATTTCTGTCGGTATTCAAGTGGACAGTATATCTCCGAATAAAATTGTTCTTAGTTAACAAGAAATTCACAACACTAAAATCATGTGAATGGCTGGTTTTGTGAATAGTTTACAGTAATTGGTAGGCTTTTTGTGGAAGATTTCAATGGGGAACCAACCAACGCACACAAATCCGGAGATGATGAATACAGAGTATTCTACTTTCGGAATGCCTTGGAGGTTCCTGGACATGCCAGTCCCAATCAGAAGGCTACCAATGCACAACGGTTTCTGAGAAAGATCATCGTTTCATCAAAGCTACTGTCCAGTCATCGTGGCAGCTGCTCGGATGCCGTTTATTGAAGTTCTGTCACCACCGGTAACCATACTTCGCAGGTAACTTCAAACCAGCGGCCGCACCCTTCCTGCAAATCGGTTTTACAATTTTCCAATCAGCCAATCAGAATGAAAATAAAGAGATCATCACTATTGCTGGTTAATTTGATTTTCTTCTTACAACTAGATCCGTATGCCATCAGTTACTTACATCGAGATACTCCGATGGAATTGGTATATCATAGCATGTGGTCACAGATGCGCATCCAGTAACGCAGATTTCCTCGCGAGATCCGTCCGCTCTAACTGCTAACGCCCGACGCCCCTTTTCGCAATCCCTTTAAAGAGAGAATCAGTGGTAATTCATACAAAGACAGTATTTATGTTTTAGTTTAGTCAAACGTCGTGGAAGAAACCACATTTATATATAGTTGAAAATAAGCAACTTGTGGGGAATTATGCATATAGTTTTATCTGATTCTGACAGTCGTGAAATATATAGTCTTTTTCACACTTCTGGTCGATCCTAACCATGCACTTACCTTCTGTTCACATTTGTGTAGCTTGGTCCCAATGAAAATCTCCCCCAATTACTCTCTGCTACGCTTGCTTTATCAATGAAGCGAGATCCATCAACCCATATCTTCCTAATATGATCTATGTAGCAATATGCATAAACATTAATAGTGGGAACAGCTGTACAGTTTTCAGTGTAGAATAACTAGCTGACTCTACATAATGAATGCATTACCATGCTTGCTGGCCACGATGCACAAATTTCACAACCCCCCCCCCTCCACTCACAAATTATAAGTGTATTGCTTGGCTTATTCTGCCCTGAACTCACGACCGGGTGATGAACAGTAAAAGGGTTGTGGCCTTTAATTATTGGAACCTATGGCGTATATGTGAGCACTAAGCCCAAAGAGGTCATCAGCACCAGATGATATTCGCAATACAGTCATACTACATAGAAGTTAACCCATTTGTGATGGCACCCCAAGGAATCGCATCTTATGTGGAGAGTTCTTTTACCAATAATCCGGCAGCAATTTGATTGGACAATTGCCATGAATATAGAGTTACGAGGATGATCTGAACGGCAGCATAATATTACACTTCCTTTCTCAACAATGAAACTGCACTAACAAATGAAAACAACCAACGATCATGCTATGCTTAAAAGTAAACTATTGGCTCCCTGACCCATGTGGAGTGAATTTCGTGAAAACAGAAGTATTCAGTTTTACCTGGCAATTTTCAGCGGTCCGATTGGAGGATTTTTGACTTTCAACGCCTCCGACCAGTATCCGATTGCGGGGACGACAATTTTTTCCTGCAGCGGAAACAGATGAACTCATTAAAGAGGGCACTGTATCCAAGCTGATGAAGAAAAAGGTTTCACACAATAATCACACTTGTCCATTTTCGGAATTGAAAGCGGATAGAACATATGAGCTAGGATTATAAGGTCAAATAATATAATTTTATAACAGATCTTAATATTTTTCTATTTAGATGAAATGGTTTGGGCAATTTGTGTTTTTGTTTAGCACCGTGTACTCATCAAACAAATCAGCAATGAAAAGCCTTTGAAGAACTTTTTGAGCTGTTTAAATCCCTGGCAGTGTCGAATCGTGACTCGGGTTCGTAACTATGCACAAGCGGTTGTTTATCTCCACACGTTAACCTTTTTTGTTATCCCAGTGGATTGATATATGTCCACGCTACCCACGATAGTGTGCTTACCTAGAATAATACGGTCTCCTTAAGTAGACGCAGTTTTAATAAAACGCAGTTTGATAGTTAACAAGCACTTGCTTGGGGATCAAAATCACCGATTGTGTGTTTCTTTCTCCACCAATTTTTCAATTCTCTGGATACGCGTTGTAACGTGTTATAGTATAGAGTATAGAGTATAGAACAATCTGGTTCTCGGCTATCTTCTATTCATCAGCCAATACGTCACAACTTTAGACATCCCTTTGGAAGCAAGGCTGAAAATTTTGCCTTGTTCCTTAAACACATTTTGTGTTGGTAATTATGATATCTTGACCAGGTGACAAATGCACATAGACGAGCCTGTGTGCTATTGCGTGTTTTTTTTCTTACAAATTTTTGATTTCCTAAGTGGCCTTTGATTAGCCATAGTTCCCATCCCAATAAGCATCCTAATAAAAACCACAGAAAAGAAAGAAAAGTATAGACCTCATTATTACCATAGTGCTACGCGCCATAGAGGATGCTATTCAAGTCGGAATGGTCCACGTTTTCGTTCAAACATCACTGTCTCCGCCGTATTACGCGAGTCAGGTGGGTTAACCGGACGAGGGACGCTGAGGTTAGGCTCGGAGTTCTAGGCAATTGCGGTCGCCCACTGAAACTAGTGGTCGATCTCCGTATACTACGGTGGTTGGGACATTTGTTACGCATATTATCATATAGGTGAGCAATGTTTGCTGAGGCAAGAAGCGGTTGGAAAAAGATCATGGGCGGTCAAACTAGGAATGAGGGTATAAAAAACCGTAAACAGTTGCCTGAGTCACATAGGTTTCATAAGACTCCCTGGATGGCTACCCGAAGATCTTGGCAACAGTTGGCGAGAGTTACTGAGTGATATGGCTGGGTGTCGGTCGTGTATCTACCCTATATTATTTTAACTCCAGTCAATTTGAATTTGCTATCCTCCTTGACTCTGCTCTCAACACTCAAATCTTTATTCAGCTCGTTTATCCAAATAGGCGATCAAAAGACAGCAACAAAATCCGGCACACAAAAGTATATGTTTAATGGTTGTAAAATTTGAAAGTGAATCTCATAAGCATTTGATTGGTTTAGGTTCAATACCAAAACATAATTCACAGACATCTCATTGGTACACACAAGTGCAGAAAAAGACAGCCTCCACTAGGTAATATAAATAAGCTTGATGATAACCAAGAGAATCCTTACCTTGCTGGATTTTCTCGATTCAATATGTTAAACACGGATTAAACATAACTGGGCACTTGTAACCAAAGAACGTTTTAACTTACTTTAAACTCTTCACTGTTCTTTAACCCATTGAAAGCACTCGTGTAAATGGGAGTTACACGAAACCCAGATGGTGTGTAATTTGCTGCAGTCATTGCCACTTCTTGAGAGGCAAATTTCTGAGAGAATTTTCTTATAAAATGATGTTTATATGCGATTTACCAGTTTGGTTACGGGGGGAATCCAACAGTTGTGCCCGTTACCCCCCAGATGCGAAAGGGAAATCGCACTCCCCATGAATAAGCAAAATATCCACAAGCATTGCGTAACACGTCTGAGAATCTGACAGAAATGAGAGAAAGATTTGAAATAAAAATAGAGAACGGACATCAGTCATCAAATTCGTGAACAAATGCTTATAAAACTTTGTAATTTTGAATTCTGACAACCGTGTATAGTATGAAGTGTGATAGTTTTTGATGGTTGATTTCATACAAACACATTAAGCAAAGGATGATGAAAAGATCTGAAACAGATTAATGATCGATTTGTCGGTTGCTTTAGGAAAATAGATGCGTGAAAAACGAAACTCACGAAGGTCACCAAGCTCGGAACTAGTTCTAATTGGCCACTTTGAATGACCCGATTAAGGTATCTAATAGCAAATTCAAACGTGAAAATGAAAATACTGTAACATTTACTCTTATTCATTTGGAATATATTTGATAATAAATATTAAGTTTTAAATGGTGCGAATGGAGGGATTTATTTGATTAGGCAATGAACTCGTCGCGTAAATTAGGTGTGAGGTGAAAGGTTAGGATAGTAGTTTTGACCCGATTAGGTCTCTTCAGCCGTGTGAATTCATCGACTCAACCAAACTGGGAATCGGTCCCGGGATCTCACAGGCGGAACACAGGTATACTACTCACTCGGCCACTGGATAGCTGATCAGACAATTTCTCATTTTGAATATGCACAATATAGCACAACCCATCTTTCCGACTATGTTGAGGACATCGGGCCTCGCTCTTCTCAGTAGTATTCTTCAGGGTTACGACGAAGTTGGAAACTTGCACAACCTGAATACTTGTTAGATGAGAATTTATTGTCTCATCTAACGTTTGGTATAAAAAAGGTTTTCGTTGGTGAAATTCAGGCACAATCCTCGGATCAACAAACTTGATGATAATCAAGTCCTGCGATCCAACCTCCAATCTTTGATTTTGTTCAATTTGGCCAAAATATTTTGTTATAAACATCTACTCGGTCGGGGAATGGCGTTTTCGCAAAGTTGACATTTACTGTACTATGTTTAAAATGCTTGTGAATACAAGTCTCCTTGCTCCTCTTTGAGTATTTATTTTTCACAATTATCCGACAAACTTTATGCGATGATTTGATTCAAAGACATGGAAAAAATCGTACTGGTACGATTTATTACAGAGACTGTCAAGTAGTTAATGTGTATGATACTTTGCATTTCATAACTCTAAGCTACATGTTTTCCACTCCACCCGGTGGGGTGTGGAGTGAGGGGAAAACGTTTTAGGCAAAGTTGCAATTAGCACAGATTAAATGAAATTACGATCATAGTAATTAAACTATTGTTTTTTTATCTGAGATTTTCTCTAACTGGAAACATTTCCTTTTGCATTGAATTATTTTTCTAAAATTTCCTGCTACGTAAAGTGTTTGATAGAGGAAATAGCTGCATTAAACTTAACACTTATAAGCCAATGAATTTCTATCAGTTATCAAAAAGTTTTCAATAATATGACATATGGTTTATCAAATTTGACAGTCAGATTCCCAGATTTTGACTCTATATTCGACATGCAAAACGTATTTACATGAAATATGTCCCATTTGAAAAAAGAAGCGTAAATAAAACATTTGATCAGCTGCTTCATTTTTGATGTATTCTAATCAGTGATTATTTAAAGAAAAGACTTTGTTTGTGATAAGCATAAGTGATGATGAAAAATGTACGGATGTACGGATTTGTAGTCTAATTGGAACCAGATAGTTTGCGTTTCAAAACTCTTGTTAGAAAGGGTTAATCATCATCCTAATCATCATCAGATTTATGAATAGGACAATTAACTCCTCTTTGAAGACACACAGATGCTTTGTTGGTTGAGGATTTCATAGAACCAAAAGCGATCAACACGAACTTATAACAGTGTTGAACTGTTTAAACCTGTATGCTATTTTTCAAGATTTATTATTAAAAGATCGTTTCACACTTGTGTTTTGTTGAGCTAGATTATCTATCGAGTTTTCAATAGAGATCAACGTTAAAAATTAATAATAAAAAGGGTTTAGAACTAAAATACATTGTTAGACTAAAGACATTTGGACCGCGGTGATCTTTGTGCAACACAAGAGGACATTTGTCAAACAGCCAGTAGGATTATTCTAGGCTTTCAAATAACCTGGCTTCATTTGTGAGCCAAACTTCCTTACTGAGCCAAAAATCTATCGCTCTGCTATATCTTCCGCCCTAAACTATAACCGCAAGACTTATTTAGTAAGAATAAAAAACCTCTAAAGTCTGAATGTTATCAAATTTCGCAATTTGACTGTCTAATGAGCAATTCCGCCAGAAGTACTATTAAATTCCATGAACTTAAACATTCCCGTAATAGTCTCATCTTTGGTGTGTTTATCTTGTTTTTTGTTGCCCCTCAAAGCAGTCTTTGAGACCAGTTTTCTTTCCTACACCTCAGTTCAGTTCAGTTCACTTTCTGCTGCCATTATCGACGGATTCACATCATGTTCACTGTAATGTTGGCTACCGACTAAATACATGAATTACAACGGTAAAATAAGACACATCACTCCTGAGTCTGATAGTGATGTGTGTTTGTATATGTGTCCTCTGGAGATAAAATGAGAACTAGCTTTCACTCACCGTCTAGTGCCATGCACACGCAGTCATCGGTAGAAACATTACCGAATTCGAATAATATTTTCCGCGAACATTAGTTGCACATAAGTAAGCAACATTATTTCCGCATATGTCACCGTGTATGATACATGCACATGGCCTTTTTCACACTGCATAAATGTTTTGGCCTCAATCACTCACTAACGATGATGTCAAATCAAATGTTAGGACTTTCGCATATATGCTATATATATTATAATCAAGACAATTATTATATAAGAACATCTGAAAAATTGACGTAAAAGAAACAAATGGGTTTTAGAGTGTTAATATCACAAATTTCGTTTTCACTAAAATTGATGCATAATAGCCATTGAGAACTTCTGAGGGTTGCACAAATGCTTCTCGAAGCTCGATGTACGGTTTCCAAACGCAAATTTCAACTGAAATGACAGGTAAAGTTCCGCTGAAATAACTTTATTAGTCTAAAAAGGAGCTCTACAAGAAACTATTCGAGGAAAAATATCTTTCTAAATTTACAGTCTCCAAAATTTCTTCACACATTCTAACGCTTGCATTCACTAAGCTGATATTTGCAAAGTATTTCACTCAAACGTGTTAGTACATGCAACATTTGAGTTTTGCCTTACATGTCACGTTTATCAATAAGGATCTGTTTTAAAATGAGTTTCTATGGCTAAGATTAACCTTCAACGATTATATTATGTACCATTTCTTTTTTCATGTGAGTAATGGAGGATTTGGTTAAATTTCGAATGGGAATTCGTCGTGTATATAGCAAATGAAGCGTGAACTGAAAAGCTCGGAAGCACTGGACAACTGTTTCGACTTAGTTGGGTCTCATCAGCAGTGCGAATCCATCGACCCATTTTGCTATATACACGACGAATTCCCATTTGAAATTTAACCAAATCCTCCATTACTCACATGAAATAATCAGTCAGGTTGTGAATGGTTCCAACCGAGTCATAACCCCGAAGGCTAGTGCTGAGTTGAGCAGGGTCGATGGCCTGCAACAAACTTTCAAAGATGGGTTGTGCTATATCGTATAAATGGAAAATGCAAAACGGTCTGATCAGCTGCTCGGTGGCGTAGTGGGTAGCACGCTTGCGTTCTACCCATAAAGTCCCGGGTTTGATCCCCAGTCGGGTCGATGGATTCGCAATGCTGATGAGACCCAACCAGGTCGAAACAGCTGCCCAGTGCTTCCGAGCTTTTCGGTTCACATTTTTTTTGTTCCTAATTAAATTCATTTTTTTCAACTTTACTGTTATTGTGTTAGAATTATTTATTATTTCAAGCCAGGGAAATATCCATTATAAATATGTGTATGCGTGAGAGACTTCAGAAAATAGCTTTGTATTCTAGCACTAGTAACAATTAAAATAACCATACTTAGGCTTACTTATTTAGATTGAAATTATTAACTAATGTTTGTCAAACAAATGATTAATTTTGACTGAAAAAGAACGACATCCATTGAGAAATTATGCATTATCAATTTACAGTGGATATCAATCAGCCAAATTCAATCAACTGATGATGGTTCCGATTTTCAAACTTTTGTTTCTGTTACCTATAAAATAGAAACAATAAGTTTGCGGTCTTTTCCCAAAATTATTATTAACGCGAAAATTATTTTTGTTGTTGTTAATATCTTTCACCCATTGGTTTATGGCTATCCAGAATTCAGCTTTTATCCTTCTGTTCTCTGCTTCAAAGCTGTTAGTTGCAATCAAATACAACATCACGATAAAAGTCTACAAAGTAACACGTTTTACCACATATCTAGATTGTTTCATTATCAGTGAATATTTTCATCTTTTTTATATAAAAAGTCTTCCAATGAATAATAAAACATGTTTTAAGACGACGTTTAATTCAACCTACCCGTCTTGTACTATTTCGCTTATTTAAACTACGTAACATTACATGGTCTTACAACCTAATTTATTGAAATTACTTCATGTTTCTCATTACCAGGAAAAGCAAACGTGTTAACCTTTTTATATTCGAATTTTTCATACGTTATTCCTCTGCTGTGGATATAACTAGCTATTATAGCCACTTTTAGAACACTAGTGGAACACTCCTGCCTGAGTAGTGACATCAACGGTCTAGTTTTATAGTAGAGAAGAGACGAGTTCCTATACAACCCATTGTATACCTTACAACTCATTTACCTTTTCTCAAATTTGCATCATCTTAAAACTCCTAAAATAACAATATAAAGCTATGGAG